AACAACAGACTGTATGTCATTTCTTAGATAAGTGTGCCAATTTGACCGTATAAAACCTTGTCGGAGGTAGCTCCTCCTTAATTCCCTAATTGTCACTCCTTATACTATAAATACTAATCGACTTCTCGCCTCGTTCTCTTTTTCCTTCAGGCCTCGTGCCACATCCGACCTCGCGTGGAGATGAAGTAAATCTTTTTCATTTCTTCATTTCAGCGACTACAATGAAAGGTCTCTTAGAAAATCTGTGTCTTCCCATTTATGGAAGACGCCGTGAACATTATACACAAATACACATTCACTAAAATACAAACATTCACCAAAGAACAGACAAAAATGTTCACACACACACGCTAATGTCATTGTCTATGTCTATTGTAAAATGGTTTTGTTTAATATATATATATATATATATATATATATATATCGGTCAGTAATTATCAGTTGAAACTTGAAAAAAAGTAAAAAAAGTAAAAAGAAAAAAATCCCGGAAAACACATAATTACCCTCCGAGTATCCGACGAGTATCCACATAAAAAAGGAAAAAGCAAAAAAAATCCCCCGTAAACAATTTAAATAGAGCTCACACCATTGCGATTGGCTGTTGGTCAACTTCCAATGAAATGCGAGACAGAGGGGTAGGGTTTGCCTAATATAAATCAGTGTCTGTAGGCTGTTAATTTAGATGTGGGGGGGGCATCAGAGACTGATCAGCTCTGATGGGGTCGATTTGGTGAGGGGGAGTATGATGTTTGAAAGACCCGAAACTGCCCAATGACCCAATTCAGAACATCACTGATGACGCCCCCTAGCGCTAAAGAGCGTATATTCAAAGTAATTTGTTTATATATATATATATATATATATATATATATATATATATATATATATATATATATCGGTCTTGTTTGTTTTATCTTCTTTATCTTCAGTTGGACTTAACTTGAGTCCGACTATTTTCTTGTAGTTAGACCTTTTAATATTCTACCAGCAGTTACACACGTGTTTCTAATACAAAAACACGTAAATGCACACATGGTCCTCTACAACCTGACCAGACCTACCCTTAAGACAGGAGCAAATGACCTTGTCATCTGCAAAGAAGCTATGAAATTATATTGACTGTGGGCGAGTATGATTTATGGTCTGTTTTGTTTGCTTGACACTATCAATAGTTGGATATGTTCCGAACAGTTCTGGAAAGTTCCGTTTGGCGAATGGATACGATTTCTCATGAGAGTAATCATCCCTTATATGCTGTGTCTCTTCAGGAAATTGGTGATCTTAGCTCTTCACAAGTTCCAGCCCCATGTAGGTACGAATAATGTCTGACTCTTTGCGCTTCCCCATTGTCCCTGTTCTGTTTGTCATTGGTAAAAAAATCATTAGTCATAGTATTCGTTGTTAATTTGCACGAGGGCATATATATATATATATATATATATATATATATATATATATATATATATATATATATAGTATAGTATAGTATAGTAAAAAGAAAGAACAGTAAGATATACAGAGTGTTTCAAATAATTTGATATCCTTTGAGATGTAAATATCACAGAAAGTACATGATTAAGGCAAATGAAATTAAAAAGTATTAATGTTGAAGATCATAAGATTTATTCTTCCAAATCTGAATGAGAAATTCAAAAGCATGTGGATTATGTGAACGATTTCACAAATGTTCAATATGCGCACCGCCTGAGACACGGCATTTTTATACCTGTAAAGAAAAAGATTAAAGATTAAAGAACATAAAAATACAAATAAGAAAAACACAAAAACATAAAGACATAAAAACATAAAACAAACATTAAACATAAAGATGCTATTAAAATTTGAAGTCATTTGAAGGAGATCTAACAAAGTTATTAGATTGCGAAATGATATCAAATTTTTTTGAAACACCCTGTATAATCCGGTGTTCTTATTGATATTTTTTATTTTTACAAAACAGTGCCTCAATGTAAATTTACGGAGTATAAATATTATAAATTTAAAAATAAGTTATTCCAAAATTCGATTGAAGATGAAACAGAACTAATGCTTTTAATTTAATTATATAATTATTTGAAGTTTTTAGCTTCGGTTTTTGAAACATGGTAATTCCCGTGTAGCGAAGGAACCATATTTTTAAATTAGTTAGTTTATAATATATATACTGGTTTGATTTATACACGTGTCAGATTAATCTATACTGTTTACTTCAATTTTTCTTATTCTCTCAGAATGTCCCCTATTATTTGGGTTTCAAACAAAAGACGATACTCTGAGCCATTGTCCTATACCTAATTTCAACCCCGCTTTTTGATATGGCTTTCTTATGTTTGTCAATTCTGACTTTTTTGAGTTATCTTGTTTCTTTCCGATATTCAAATTGCCTACATGCCATCATGTTTTTATCTTTCTAACCTCAAATATATCCTGTGCGGAGTGTTCAAACAATCCAAGTCTCTGTTTTTTTAAATTTTTTAAAAAATTAAAATGATGGTTTAATAGTTAGATACGCTCCTTGTGTGTTCCTCGGCTAAATATGTATATATATATGGAAATTGCATCGTTAAATATCTGAGCTCAACAGATTTAACAAAATATTTTTTTTAAAATCTTTATGGAAAAAATTTTGTAAAAATATTAAAATTGCAGGAATAATATGAAATGAAAATAAATTTTTATTAAATTTTTTTTTTACATATTTGCATATATTTATAAACTTTACAAAAACAAACGATAATTATTTAAATATATATATTATATATATTTTAAATATATATATATATATATATATATATATATATATAATGATGTGTGTGTAAACGAATGCATTTTTTATATATTTTCGACAGAATTGCCTCCAAATTTATGCCCACATGCACCAAGTTAGTGGGAAGAACCAAACCGAAAAACCATTTTTTTGAATGTCATATATATATATATATATATATATATATATATAAATATATAAATTTATTTTGAATAATTCTGTTTATTTGTTATCGAACTCTTCATAAGGTTTTGCAGGTAGAGGCCCAATAATGATATATAAAAACTAAACTTGAAACATACCCAGGTTAAATTGTGTAAGTGTATATTTCATTTTGATCAAAAAGGTTCTCGGTGTGGGTTTTATCATTTCCCATCAAGCAAGGCAAAAAGCCACTCTGACTTTGATTTAAAATAAATTTAAATCTGAACAAAGAACTAATGACTCCTATGCCAAAATATTGAAAATAAAAAGAGAAGATGGAAATAACATATTGGCAAGATCATTGATATTTTTATTGAAATGCATCATTTGTCTCCAAGAAATTACAACAATGATTTAAAACTCAATCATCATTTTTTTACAAAAAAATGAAACACGCAGCAAGGTCTAGGTAATTCAGCTAATATATATATATATATATATATCTGCTCATAAATATCCAAATGTAAAAAATGACGTCATACATTATGAAATGGACAAAGTCCGACAATTATTTTAAGACATTTCTTTCTGTTCATACATTCTTTTATAGATACAAATATTTAAGTAAATGCTCTGTTTATAATAAAACAATTTAATCTAAACAACATTTACCGGTCTGATTACACGAAAATTTTCATAGAAAATATTCATCCTCCGACAAGATTGAAAGTTGAACCTGTATCCTATAGGCGAAATTGAACCGTCATTTAGCTTGACGTGCCTTTAACCGATTTGGCCACGAAGGAACGTTCGGTTAGCAAGGTCGATTTTACTGTCTTTAAACTTCAATCTTCCATGAATCTAGTAATGCACGTACATTCATATCTGCTTTCATTAGAAAAATCAAATGTAAACAAATGACGTCACACATTATGAAATGGACAAAAGTCCGACAATTATTTTAAGACATTTTTATGTTTTATATTCTTCTTTTTTTAGATATCAAAATTTTAAGTAAATGCTCTGTTTAAAATAAACAGTAATAACAACATTTACCGGCTTGAATATCCATTTCATAATGTATATACGTCATTTGTTTACATCATCAAATGATGAAAATTACATTTCAAAATGTATGATAAATTTGCAAAATATCTCGTATTGAATAAAATGATCAATAAAATATGCGTAATAAAATATTTGGAAAATAAATATTTTTTTAAAAGTATAAATACCAATCCGGACATCTAATATAAATATAAATTCATTGGTTAAAAATTCAAATTTAAAATATGCCTTTTTATATATGATGAGGGACTCAATATGATGATTGTTATCGTTATAAAGGATAAATGGATCCAGAGATTAAATCTGAAAAAATAAAATGTCAAATGAGAAAATAAAAAAAAATAAAAATAAAATAAAATGCGTGTAAAACAAATATCATGGGCGTGATTCAGAATAATATAAATGGAAAATGGAAAAACGAAAGTAAAAAATAAAATTAAAAAGAAAAATAAAAAAAAATATAAAAATATAAAATTGAAATAAAATCGAAAAATGTTCGAAGAAATAAATTTAAAATAAATATAAAAATATAATATTAAAGTACTCAAAAAAAATAAAATAAATTGGATTTTATGGAATGATAATATTTTTTACATTAAAATATTTCGTATAAATAAATTAATTGCGATGGAACCATTAAAAATAAATATTCCTTCTAAAATATAAATAAAATAAAACAAAAAAATAAAAATGAAAATGTAAAAATAAAATAAAATATATATAAAAATCTCTCAGTTTAAAAATCAAAATACACGTATAAATATACATTAAATCATTCTGTCGAGAAAATTGTCTGTCCACAATCGCTCCAGATTTCTTACACGTGGCGACAATTGATTTAGGTATTAGAGGTGATATTATTCGTCCTAATAAGGAACACAATGTGAGACAACAAATCAACAGCTTGTAGTTTTCTAAAGGAAACTAAGATCAATTCCATAAGGAAGGGAATGTGGTGAAAAAGAAAACATTTAAAAACAACATATAAAATGACGTCCCGCCATGATTGGAATTTTCAAAAGATCTAATGAACCATCCTTAAAAACAATTTCATCAAATGACAAGCTTCCCGACATTTTCATGTTGTGGTCCGACTCAAAAAAACTGTCTTCCTAATAGAATTATCATTCATCCTGGGAAGAGAACAGGGTGGAAAATTAGCACATTGCAGATTTCTTTTGATTTTATCAAAATCCAAAGTTGACTATGAAACAAGAAAATGGTTGGAAAAAACGTGATGCCTATTGAGATTGGGTTAACATAAACTTAAATTACATTCGGTCATTTCCTTAACTTTCAAAAATAGGCATCACTAGCCGTATCTTGAAAAGCGTTTCGCAAAGTTGAAAATTGTATTCAAAAACTGTTCAAAACGCGTCAAGAATGATTTGGTCGAAATCAAAAAAAGCAAATAAAATGCGCGCAACATCACGACCTAACATGCAAAAGTGAAAATATTTTAAATGTCGTCTATAATACTTTACTGAGCGCGTCAATAACGGCAAACGCGTTCAGGAATCTTTCATTACAGATAGAATTTACTTAAAGGAACGAAAAATTTGTCTTAAATCTTTTATTATTCTGCCTGGTGGCAAAATTTTGCTGGTGGCGCCAAAATGGCGGTCCCTACCAAATGTTAGTTTTCACAATGATATCACCCCTATTCGGTTGAATGATGAATATTTTATCGCAATGCTAAATCAAAAACGATATTAAAAAAAAAAATTTTTAATACACGGATGAAAAAAATAATGATAGTCTGTTTTTTCTTGTATGAAAAAATTTCATCTCGTTACGACAAACTCAATTATCAAAACATGGAAGCGAAAAATTAAAGACTGCAGCTTTGACGTCCCAACGTTTCTCCACGCGACATGAAACGAGAATTTTTAAATGAAAATTAATATTTGTTTAAAAAATGGCACTATATATTTTTTTTAGAATTATAAATTTTCAAAATATTTTTTCAGAGATTTTGTAGTTTATTTTGTTCAGGTTAGGTTTCAACTGTTTTATGTATATAGCTTTTGGGATTCATTTTTTTTTTTTTTTATTGTTTTCATGTTTAAGTTTAATAATTGTCTTTTCAACAAATTTTTTTACGGAATTGTGTACGAATATATTATTATTTGATAATGGCATTATCTAAGCAAAAAATTTGGATTTTTTTGTAAATCAAATATGGGGAAATTTTTTTTTTCTTTTAGACACGATTAATGTTATTAAGAGTTATTAACAATATTAAAGATTTTTTGCTTTATTATAAATATACAAAACTTGTCTATATTATTTAATCTGATCAAATAAAACATGAAAAAATGTTTAATTGCTCTTTAATATACCATATATTTATATATATATATATATATATATATATATATATATATAGTATTTTATATATATATACAGGGTGTCCATAAAGTTCGTGTGCACTTTAAAAATTTATAACTTTATTTGCATTTGCGATAGAAATAATTTGTAAAAAGGATTAGAAAGAAGTAAATCTATATTTTTTAAGATTTTATTGAAATTTTATTTAAGTTTCCACATGTCCTCCATCATTAGCAATAAAAGGGTAATACGATTTTGCAGTTCACGGAAAACATTTGCCAACTGATTTACAGTAATGCCTGAAATCACATTAGTTATTTTAGCTATACTTAAAAACTAGGTACATTAAACTTTATAACATTTTTTACAGATTATTTCTATCGCAAATACAAATAAAGTTCGTTATGTCGAAGTGTTAGTTTATCACTGATACACAAATGACACTAATGGGCTTTGGAGAGTGGAGCAAAAAAGTTTTGTTTTGTTTTTTTTTTTTACAAGAATCCTATTATTGCTAACCACATGGCAAGAAACACTAAATATAGACTTATTTTAATACCGGAGTGTAGACTATTCACTATGGATGGCTTGTGAGATAATCTTGTTAGCCACAGACTCCATGTTGGGATGTTTTGAACGACCAGAAGAAAACGGCGAAACAGAAGATGAGCTAGAGAAATTCGTAGGTATAAATGCGTAAAATAAAATGGAATATTGAGAATAAAGATGGCGATTGTAAAATTACTGTGATTGTTATCGATTTTTTTTTCTCTCTTTCGCTTTGGCGACACTTTTCTTTGCGCTCTGAAGAGCAACCATTGATTTCGCAGACGTGGCATTTGATAAATTCTAGCGATCATCAAATTTACCGAACTCTGGAAAGAAAGAGGATAAATAAGTAAATAAATAGAGGCTAAACCATTTCCCGTTAAATCTTATAAATTCTTTCTGGTTATAAACATATGAACCCACTAACAATGTCAGACAGCAGTCTTCCTCCTTCTTTGTATCTGTTATCTCTTTTATTCATTGCCTGTCTTTTTTGACGCCCCATTCGTTTGTTATTCATTCATCATCTATTTTTCTTTATTTTTAGTCTTATTCAACAAGCCGCTATCTTATTCTTAATACGATGTGATGGCGGCTTGTAATGCGAAGTGGGAGAATCAAGTTCGAATTCCAATTGGGTTCGTTATATTCACCTAAACGCTGATACTCTGTGTTAGGAAAGGTGAATAATCCACCCAGTCTTCTTCTTTTTTTCTATCCAAGCAAGAAACGCTAAGTTTTGAGCCCAAAGTGTGGGTTAAATAGTCGGATCTACCTGAAAAGCTGGACTTTTATTCTCTAAAAAGTATTTATGCGATATTTACTCGCAAAAATGTTTTTCTTACAATCCAAGATATGTTTAGGTTTAACATACAAAGCGTCGATAAACTGTAAAAACAAACAAGTAAAATCAATTCTGGGTAAGACGATAAACTGCAAGGCCTCTGATCAGGAGGTTTTGAGATGCGTGGAAACCACCTCTTAATTGCTGGTGTTCCCAGATCCACCTTGACCCGGAGTGGTAGCACCTGTTAGGGTCCCACCTAAAGGCAAATAATTAACTCCAAACTAGTCTCAAAATGTTATGAACGTGTAAAAATAGGTTTTAATAACAGCAATGCATTTTTCTAAAAAATTTTTACCAGTAATGAATTTTTGAAGAAAAAAATTATTACAACAATACATTTTTGAAAAAAAAAATACCAGCAATAAAATTCTGGTCCGCATTAAATAACCCGAGATTTACCTTAACTTCCCAACTGAGCCAAGTTGTGACACAAGGTCGGTTTTTCATGTGGGATACCTGAACGTTTCCACACGGGCAGCTGGACTAAGCTGGTCATAGTTTGTCTAGGCTGGTCATCGCAGGTCATAACACCGTTACGTCACGGACCGATGGGGTGGGAGACGCAAAAGAGGAGCGAAGACGTCCGGCACAGAACAGATACTACAACCACAGCATCTACTCCGACGGGAAAAATCCCATTCTTCTCCTCTGCCAATCTTCCCGAAAGAATCCGGAAGGAAAGCCCCCGGCATTAAATAACCCATAGATAGATAGATAGATAGATAGATAGATAGATAGATAGATAGATAGATAGATAAAAATATTACCAATATAAAAATCTTGATTAAATAATCCATTGAAGTTGATATGCAGCAAAAAAAAAAAAAAACCAATATATATATATATATATAATATATCCATTAGAAGTAGATAGATAGATAGATGTGAAGGAAAGAAGATAAAGATAGATAGATAGATAATATATAGATAGATAGATAGATAGGGACCAAGATAGATAGATAGATAGATAGATAGATAGATAGATAGATAGAGATAAGATAGATAGAATAGATAGATAGATAGATAGATGAAGGAATGACCAAGATAGATAGATAGATAGATAGATAGATAGATAGATAGATAAAAAAATATTACCAGAATAAAAATCTTGTCGGCATTAAATAATCCAAAGATAGAAAAGAAAACAAATAAACCAATGATAGATAGATAGATAGATAGATAGATAGATAGATAGATAGATAGATAGACCAATATAGAAGGGACTCAATATAGATAGATAGATAGATAGATAGATAGATAGATAGATAGATAGATGAATGAATAAATAGGGACCAAGATAGATAGATAGATAGATAGATAGATAGATAGATAGATAGATAAGATAGATATATGATAGATAGATAGATAGATAGATATGATATATATAGATATAGATAGATAGATAGATAGATAGATAGATATGAAGGACCAAGATAGATAGATAGATAGATAGATAGATAGATAGATAGATAGATAGATAGATAGATAGATAGATGAAAAATATTACCATCAATAAAAATCTTTTCGGTATTATATAACCCATTGAAGTTGATATGCCGTAAAAGAAAACGAACAAAACTAAACCAATTCTGCTTTTTCATTGTGTTAATCGTTTCCTTTTTTTTTTACTTTTATTTTTCCTTTTCGTTTTCTTTTCTTCCAGCGAACCATTTTTTGTTTGTCTTTCTTCTTTTTGACTTTCTTCATATTTTCCTCCTTCTCAATATTTTGATTTGGCTTTTGTTTTTATTTTCGTTCTTCTTTTTATCTCACTTGTTAATGTTTCTTTATTTTGTTTTTCTCAGTCTTTCCTCTTCTTTTTTCTTTCTTCCTCTCCTTCTTTCTTTTCTTTCTTTCTTTCTTTCTTTCTTTCTTTCTTTCTTTCTTCTTCTTCTTTCTTTCTTCTTCCTCCCCCGCCATTTTTCCTTGCAATCCAAAATACGTTTAGCATTTTAAATAACCTACAAAAAGTTGTAAACCGTAAGAAAAACAAATCAATTCTGCTTTTAATTTGTGTTAATCTTTTTTTTTTTACATTTATTTTTCCTCCTTCATTTTTTTTTTCGTTTTCTGTTCTTCTCGCTAAGCATTTCTTTGTTCATCTTAACTTTGTTCATGTTATCCTTTTTCTTTAATTCTTCATTTCCTTTTAGTTTTCATTTTTGTCTTTCTTGTTGCTTCTTCTTTTTATCACACTTGTTAGAGTTACGACATTTGGTTTTCTTTCCTCCTCTTTTGTCTTTCCTCTCCTTTTTTTCTTTCTTTTTCTTCTTTTTTTTTCTTTCTTTATGTAT